GTCTGATTCCTTATTCAGGTTGAAACATTTTTCAACCTTGTTAGCCCTGCCAATTAAATGTCAAATTTACAATTTGCACATTTCTGCTCTGTCAAATTCATGTAGCTAAAATAAGCAGAAATGTGCACCACTCAGCGCCATTTTTTTATCGAGAGAGCTGCAAGTTTTGCTAGTTTTTGGAGTACGGGAACGCGTTTTAGCAGAATTAGCACTAATTAGTACTAATTTGTAGGTTCTGTAACACAACTATTGAAGTGTATATTTTGTAATATTTTTTCACCTTACAACATAGGTTGGGATTATTATATGCAGATTCCAATTATCGTCCGATCCTCACGAAAAGGGTAGGGTTAGGCTCAGAAGGGCTTGGCCTATTGTTTTCAAAGATGTCCGCAATATATTTAGGGGCTGAAATGGACCAACAAATAAAAATATTCCTGATTTTGCAGCCGTTATAAAGGTCATAATAGGACACGAAATCTCGCATGAAGTTAGAGTTTAGGACAGCGGGTAGAATGGACCACCATTTCTCTCTGAAAAATAAGACCATTACTTACTAGCGATTTCCTGAATACACAAAATGCGAACTTCTGGCTTTTTATGCTGATTTCGTTGACGACTATAGCCAAATATCGTAGACAAGAAAATCATATAGATGAGTCTATATGAGTCTTGCTTTTGGAGATGATCGCAAAATATTAGGGGTTCAAATGAATCAAAAGCAGGAAAAAAATCCTGATCACACAATTGAAGCCATTCGACACGCCTGAGAAGAGCGTTAAGGACAGGGAAGAATACTACAATCTTGGATGATCATTGGATTATATTTAGCTGTAAAATGGACCACAACAACTAACAGCACGACGGAGTGCGTAAATATTGGGCAAATGTCCCTGGTCAAAAGGCTGAGGGTAATATCTGGGCTGACATAATTTCAAAAGCGAAATCTTCCAAACTGGATTTGGACATAAGGGGGCTTCTAACATATTGTAGTGTTGTAGGGTATCACATGGTCGGCCCCGCAGGACTATAGCCATTGCTTACTTGTTTTTAAATCTAATTAAATGAAAGTAAAAATTGTCGAAAATAGCGTCAAATTTTAAAATAACTTTAGATTTGTTCGAATTGTTCAAACTTGGCACGAATTATGGGCTTCAAACGGCCAATGAAACCGTCACACGCTGCCCGAATGTTGCTCTGCGGTATTTTAGTCCATTCCCGGCGAAGCGCTTGCTTGAGATGATCGACACTTAGGTATTTTTTAGTGCCAACCTTGCTTTCCAAAATACTCCAGACACAATAGTCCAACGGATTAGTATCCGTAGATTTTGGTGGCCATTGTTCGCTGGAAATGAAGCAAGGAACCTCATTTTGTAACCATTCTTGGGTGGCTGATTGCGATTGCGTGCTGAGTGCGATTTGGAATATCCAGGGTATGCGGCCAAAATGTTTGCGAGGCCAAGGCTTTAATACACCCTCCAGAATATTTTCGCAATAATATTTGGTATTTATTCTGATGCCACGGTCGATTAATACAAGCAGAGAGAGACCATCGGCTGTTATGGCGGCCCACACCATCACCATGGCCGGCGCTTGAGTTCTTGTGGCCAACCGAAGGTGCACATTTTCAGCTGACCTCTTTGGCTAGTAAACACGATGATTTTGTTTGTTTACAAATTGCTGGACAACAAATGTTTTCTCATCGAAGAAAACCAAATTCGGCAGTTCACCACTTTCGGCCAAGTGAAGGAACTCCTTAGCTCTTTTGAGTCTATTTTCTTTCTGTTGCGGTGTAAGTTCTTGGACTTTTTGGAATTTCAATGGCTTTACCCCGAGCTAATTTTTCAATATTTGACGAATGGAATATTGCGCTATGTTCAGCTCACGAGCCATTTGTCGGCCACTGCGACTCGGGTTTCGATCAAGTCGCTTCTTTACTTTTCGCACCATTTCTGCTGATGTTGCTGTTTACTTCCGTCCTTGACGATACTTGACGTCGGGCTACGCTACCAGTATCACGGTAACGAGCGATGGTACGAGACACAAAAGATTTAATGACATTTAAACGCTGGAGTGCTCTAACGATAGCCACTTGTGATTTTCCAGCCAAATATAAAGAAATCACACCATCGCGCTTGAATTTCATCACGAATAACATTTTTTCTGGAAAATTCTCACCAAAATGCTTTTGTACGCTTGTGAACAATATAATAAGCTGTCGCTGGAATAATTTTGACAGCTGTCGGACGAGTGGCTTAGAATTGGCAGCAGTCTGAAGTTGATTGCAGTTTTTTCATCTCATATATTTTTTTTTTCAATTCACAAATTCATTTCGACTACCCACCCTAATATTCGGCACCCGCATATTTTTGTCGAGCCACTACATTAATTTCATTTACACTTCGTCGCGCCGCACATACATTCACTTATTTACAACTAACAAATAAATCTCGCCACATTCTTCTACGTCGAACAAGAAAAGAAAAACGTTCATTCAGTAAAAGTTTTCGAATCAAGAAATTCATGTCGATTGAAATTCGAGTAGCTGCCGGGTAAGGAAACTTTTTGAAACGCAATACCAAGTGACACCACCACCACCCAGAGCACACAAAATCAGTGGAGGCTTGGTATGGGATCTGTTGTTTTCCAATTGCTTGGAATAACAGCTTCCTGAAGTGAACACACACTGTCGCTTTGCTTTGCAATTGTCATTTAATACAACAAATTATGTGTAGGAGCTGATTTGGCACGCCGTCGTGCCTGGCAGCCAGAGTCGATGTTGTCAATTAATCGTATGATTTTTCTTATTTTCAAATTAACATTATCGAATTAAGAAAATTTGCGATTTTGATTGCGTTGCAATGAAGTGAAATTGCTGCACAGAATGGATAGAAAGAATTGAATATATACAGAGGAACAGAAGTAGGATTTCTGTCCATCGAAGACCAGCTGAAGGTCTTCTAGACGCACCCATAAAAACCTGCAAATGATCTTCTTTTTACAAAAGACTTGCAGATAGTCTTCTATCTACAGAAGACATGCACAAGAGGGTCTGGAGATGGTCTCATGTTAATACAAAGAGGATTTTCGGATTTTTTATAGATAGAAGACTTTCCGTAAGTTTTTGTTCTGCTGGTCTTCTAAAGATAGAAGACCCTCTTTTTGGCCATCTGCAGAAAGAAGACCTTATACAAATGTGACCTTCTTAAAGTCTTCTCTAGTAAGAAGACCATTACCTTAAAGAAACCAACGGGGTATATTTGAATAGGGTTCAAACTTAATATTTGTCAGTGTGAAAATGTGCTTAATCGGTCCATTTTTTTCTGGTAACTCCTTCACAAAGATTCGACATTTTGAATAACAATTCAAAATCTAAATTTTCAATTATCGGAATACTCTTCCTTGGAGTCCTTGCAATTTATATATATATTGTGTCTCCTGCAATATTACTGATAACAATACAGGGTGAGATGAAAAAACTGCAACCATCTTCGGACTGCTGTCATTTCTAAGCCACTCGTCCGACAACTGTTAAAATTTTTCCAGTGACAGCTTATTATATTGTTTACAAGCGTACAAAAGCATTTTGTTCAGATTTTTCCAGAAAAAACAGTTATTCGTGATGGAATTCAAGCGTGATAGTGTAATTTTGTAATATTTAGCTGGAAAACCAAAAGTGGCTATCGTTAGACACTCCAGCATTTAAATGTTGTGAATAAATCTTTTGTGTCTCGTACCATCGCTCGTTACCGTGATACTGCTAGCGTAGCCCGACGTCAAAGAAGTGGACGGAAGAGCAACATCAGCAGAAATGGTTCGAAACGTAAAGAAGCGACTTGATCGAAACCCGCATCGCATTGGCCGAAAAATGGCTCGTGAGCTGAACATATCGCAATATTCCATTCTGCAAACATTGAAAAATGAACTCGGGGTTAAAGCCATTGAAATACCAAAAATTGCAAGAACTTACACCGCAACATAAAGAAAATAGACTCAAAAGAGTTAAAGAGTTGCTTCGCTTGGCCGAAAGTGGTGAACTGCCGAATTTGGTTTTCTCCGATGAGAAAACATTCGTTGTTCTGCACTTTGTAAACAAACAAAATGATCGTGTTTACTTGCCAAAGAGGTCAGCTGAAAATGTGTATTTTGGAAAGCAAAGTTGGCACTAATAAATACCAAAGTGTCGATCACCTCAAGCAAGCGCTTCGCCGGGAATGGGCCAAAATACCGCAGAGCAACATTCAGGCAACGTGTGACGGTTTCATTGGCCGTTTGAAGGCAATAATTCGTGCCATAGGTGACCAATTCGAAAAAATCTAAACTTATTCTAAAATGTAATGCTACTTCCGATATTTTTTGCTTTCATTCAATAACATTTAAAAAAATGAAAAAATTATGGCGTTTGTCTTTGTTGCAATGTTTTTTATCTCACCCTGTATAGTCTGCCCCGCCCGAATTTTTATCTTTCCTTACTAGTTAGTATCTCCAATAGTAATTTTCATTACAAATTTCAGAAGTATAGCCATTTACGTATGCCCAATACTTTAAATTCATTTGTTTGTACGTTTTAGTACGAATTTTCAACACATCAGCCTCTGACCCACATGCAACATTTCAATATTCTTTTTTCAGCTTTTTCGCCTAGGCATTGGTGAATCCGTCACTTACTCATCACTCTACTATTTTAGTTGGTTTATGTACGTCCGATAAAAAGTTGACAAAGGCTAAGGGAGGGTATACACCTGTCAAAATGTCGTCTAAAACTTTCTAACATTTTTCCAATCCTAAAGCGGTTTCAAAACTTAGGTCTTGCCAATTCAGTGTTTTATTTTATTTCGTTTTATTATTATTTATTCTTATTTATTTATTTAATGTTAAGTGTTCTATCTGTTAAAATGTCTGTGTTAATAACATTTGTAATTCTCCTGCTCTCATTGCAACAACTTTGTGTTTGAGAAATTCCCTCATTCCTCAATTTTTGTTTTCTCTTCTCTTTTCAGGTTATGAACAAAATCCCACTCTCAATTTTTCTCGTTGATGTCTCATCGTTTGGTTTGGTTTGTTATTCATTGATAATACAGCTGAGTACTTGAGAACGACACCCAGAGAGAGAGAGAGAGAGAGCAACAACCTCTCCTACTCTCAAAATACACACAAACAAAACAAAAACAGATCGTTGCTCAACGGATTTTAGCAAACAGTTGACAACTTTCAAGGTTGGGCCATCGTTGTTCTGAACCACCTGAAACAGAAACAGAAAATTCTACGACGGTACGACAACGACGACGACGGTATATCCAGTTTTGTGTTACGTTTCCGGTTTACCGGTTCCTGCGGCGGCGTCATGACTTCACAGCAATGTCTGTGCATCAAACGGTTTCTAATTATCGGCATCGGATTTCTATCGATCCTGGCCGGTCTCTATTTGTACCTGAATTGGATAGACATGTTTACGGAAATGCGTGGAAAGGTAAGTGACAAAGTGGAGGACGAAAACAAAGCAAAAAAGACACATCAAAGGCAATCAAGTGGCCACGAGAGTAATGTGTGTTTGATAGAAATCATAGGGGCGGTTGTGGATTAAAATTTTTGCAGTACTTCTTTTTTGCCCTAAAACAATAAACCCGTTGTTTTACTTTTCAACCATTTTTATTACCATTTGTTTCGTGTTGTTGTCATTGTTTTGTTTTTATCTAATCTTCCTCGTCGCTGGTGAAATTTAGAATCAAGAAAAAAAACTGCTGGCGATAACTAACTTATGTTTTTTTACCTGCCAGGCCTAAGTTGTCTTCATGTCGCTAGAATTCAAAATAATAAAGAGGAGGAGGGAAAAACATAAAAATAGTCAAATAAAATTGCGCAAAATAAAATAAACAAGAACATTTAGTTAAACAAAAAGCAATTTCGGAAATTTTGCATCTTGAGTGCAATGAACTTTTGTAGGGTCCATAAAATTGTTTGTGTGACCCAAGGGCAATTACTTTTGAATGCATTTTTATGGGAAAAGTGTGCTGCGACAGGCATGAGATTATGAACGAGATTAATGGTTCCAAACATAATTATACAATGTTAATTAAATTTATATTAATTAGACTTCGAACTTCGAATTTGGAAAGGTCTTGGACATAATAGACCGTAGTCGCTACAGATAGAAAACCCTTAAGTAGATTTTTTCTTTTTGGCGGAATTCTCCCAGGATGTTCCACATAAGCGGCTTAACTACGATTAAGGACTTATTCGCAAATCGATCGGAAAATATTATTACAGGTAGCCCTGGTGGTGGGTCATGGTTACAACGATGTGATTTTTTTCTTGTGGAAGTCCATACTTATCAAGTTTAGGGTAGCCGGTGTTGACACTCATACTATCTGGTTGGTCTTACAAACACTGGAAATAGAGCAAATGATCGACGAGGGTGCCCTTTACTCTACTTGTTCTGCGGGTATCTTATAGAAATCCCTTTTAAAGGCACAAGTTTTTTATTTTTTAAGACATTTCAGAATTTTTTCCCTTATTTACGGATGGAACTAGGTTACAAGGTTCTCTGTGTCGAACAGAAATACGACCTTTTTACTTTTAATACCATATAGCATTATATAGGGGGCATATTAAATTTGTCATTCCATTTGTAACTCCTCGAAATACTCAAGATACAGGGTCAGATAAAAAAAAACGAATTATGGCCTTCAAACGGCCAATGAAACCGTCACACGCTGCTCGAATGTTGTTCTCTGTGGTATTTTGGCCAATTCCCGGCGAAGCGCTTGCTTGAGGTGATCGACACTTTGGTATTTTTAGTGACAACCTTGTTTTCCAAAATACTCCAGACACAATAGTGCAACGGATTGGTATCCGGAGATTTTGGTGGCCATTGTGCGCTGGAAATGATGCGGAGAACCTCATTTTGTAACCATTCTTGGGTGGCGCGTGCTGAGTGCGATGGTGCTGAGTCCTGTTGGAATGACCTAGGTCTGCAGCCAAACTGTTTGCGTGCCCAAGGCTTTAATACACCCTCCAGAATATTTTCGCCATAATATTCGGCATTTATTCTGATTAATACAAGCGGAGAGCGACCATCGGCTGTTATGGCGGCCCACAACATCACCATGGCCCTCTCTTGTGTTCTGGTGGCCAACCGAAGGTGCACATTTTCAACTGACCTCTTTGGCAAATCAACACCATCATTTTGTTAGTTTACAAACTGCTGGAAACTAAAATCGGCAGTTCACCACTTTCGGCCAAGCGAAGCAACTTTTTGGCTCTTTTGAGTCTTTTTTTGTTCTGTTGGGGTTAATTTCTTGCACTTTTTGAAATTTCAATGGCTTTACTCCGAGCTCATTTTTCAATATTTGTCCGAATGGAATATTGCGATATATTCGGCTCACAAGCCATTTTTCGGCCACTGTTACGCGGGTTTCGATCCAGCCGCTATTTTACTTTTCGAACCATTTTTGCTGATGTTGCTGTTTTCATCCGTCCACTTCCTTGACGTCGGCCTACGCTACCAGTATCACGATAACGAGCGATGGTACGAGACACAAAAGATTTATTCACATTTAAATGCTGGAGTGCTCCGACGATAGCCACTTGTGGGTTTTCAGCCAAATGTACAGAAATCACACTATCACGCTTGAATTCCATAACGAATTACTTTTTTTCTAGAAAATCCTCACCAAAATGCTTTTGTACACTTGTAAACAATATAATGAACTATCACTGGAATAATTTTAACAGCTATCGGACGAGGGGCTTAGAAATGACATCCACTCTGGTAATGGGTGAGGTATAGTGCTGGATTTTTCAAATTTAATATTGAGGTCACTGTTGGTATCTGGAATTAAGATGTGGAGGTGGGTTTGGAAATATATAATTGTACCCAAAGTACTGAATGGCACTGAATAGGGCATTGGGTGTAGCATAGAGTTAAAATCGTGAAATTTCATATGGTTGTCACTGTTGGGGTCTGTAGTTGAGGGAAGCAGCTGGTTTTGGAAATATGTACTACAATTATTCGAAAAGTACTAAGTTTTACGAAATTAGTTATTGGGCGAAGTAATAGAGCTATAAGCCTGACATTTGGTATTAAGGTCTTTGTTGGTATCTGGTGTTGAGATATGGAGATGCTTTTGGAATATACTAAATAAATGTACGAAAGGACGAGAAGTAGTACTAAGGAATATATCTGATATCCCGAAATTTTTTTATGGATGTCACTGCTGGTGTCTGTGGTTGAGAGAAGGAGCTGGTTTTGGAAATGTGTACTACAATTATTCGAAAAGTACTAAGTTGTACTAAATTGGTTATTGGGTGAAAAGGTAGAACCTGAGGTTGATAATGAGCTCTCCGTTGGAATCTGGTAATGAGATCTGATGGTGGTTTTGCGTAATATAATTGTTCGAAAAGTACTAAATGGTATTAATTTTGGATCACTGCTAGTGTCTGGAAGTGTCAAATGTATATTGTTTTAGATAAACGTACTAAATTTTACTACATTTGATATTGGGTAAAAGGATAGCGTTGAAATTCTGAAATTTGATATTGAGGCCATTGTAGATTTCTAGGGTTTTCATATGGAGGTGTTGAAATTGTTTTGGACATAAAAATTGGATGTGGGGTCATTGTGCGATGGGTTTACCAATATCCCCCAGGATAAATTTCAAATTAAATGATTTTAAAGACTTCTTGAGTAAAAGCTAAATATTTCCTATTATTTTTCCGAAAAAGGAAATACTTGGAAAAAATTAATAATACTTGATAGTCTGAAAATTTAGTACGATATATGAAGTTTTGTTAAAAAATGTCAAACTTAACAAATTGTGCGTTTCGAGTACTAAAAAGACCTAACTCGAACTGCTGGAATGAATCTAAAATTTAAAGGTGAAATTTTCGCCGACGAGGTACTGGCACTTGCTAGTCTCATATAAAACGTTTTGCACAACCGCCCATATAACGGAGCCTGTCGATTTTGAGTATTTTTTAAAGTTATATCTCCAAAAACCAAAATATTTGTAAATTGATGATTTATGATGTTAAAGACATTGAGCCATTCTTTATGAAAACTGCAAATATAGGCCAACTATTTCACAGCATGCATTTTCAGAGGTATCTCCTGTTTTCCTGTATTTTACTTTGTATGTTTTTTTTTATGGTGGAGGGTATTAAAAGTCAGGGCCGTCAAAATTTAATGTTTTTTTTTACTAGTCATAGAATTGTTGTCATTTGCTATGTTAAACGCCAAAGTTCTTGTGTTGGCCTAATTTTTTGAAGACTTTGATCGTGAAAACAATTAAATTCATTTTACATTCAATTACTGTCACCCTCATCTAACAGTAAATTTAGTTTAGATTAATAAACAGGGTTGTGACCCCTTGTAATATACACATGACCTCTGATGTGAATGTTAATAGCATGCGGTAATAACATACGTATTTACGTTTGAAGATTATGTGTTTTTCCATTCCATAAAAAACTACATTTGAGGCATAAAAATTTCAGTTTTTCTTGTCCGGAAAATGTTCACTGACATACATCCAATATATTGAATGAATTTTGTTTTGGAATTTTTTCTAAGTGGGGGTTTCCAAAAAGTTAAAAAGTATCAGTCGGTTTTGCCGACCCTCAGGCATTGTTCGATTATTTAAATATATTTTGACTTCTGTTATGATTATTCAACTGTTAACCCTCTATGGAGTAAGTTTCGAAGGAATGGGCCAATATTGTCCATTTCGTATCGGACCTTAATAAATATGATAAAAATATTGCGTCATGCCAGTTTTGGACTATATCGACTACTTCCTTCACTTCATAAGAGATATGCGATAATTTTTAGAAAATGATGAAATGTGCGTGAGGTTCCAGATATGGTCGGTCAAAGTGTTCCATTTTCACAATTCATCTAATATAGACGAAAATATTGGCAAAAAAATCGAGAACGTTTATCCAATTTCATGCAAAATCATAAATTCCGATAAATACCATATTTATATTTCTGCTTGCTGATTTCCCAGATTTGTTTCGCAAGTAATGACAGGTACAAGTACTGAAAATTGTGGCCCCTTGGGGATGAGATACCAGAAGGGGTTGGCAGATATCTATCATCTTCACAACAGATCTTGCGTTAGTAGAAAAGTTTAGATGTGTGACATTTAAAGAGCGTTTTGATCGTTTTGATTTTCAAAATCTTGAACCCTATGTGGAGGAGGTACTAGAAGAAGTGGGTCGATCTCTACCATCTTTATAACAGATCTTGTGTTGATGGAAATATTGAGGTGCATCAAGTCTGTATGGAATCGGATGTTATTTTCAAAATTTTGACCATTTTGTGGGGAAGGTACCAGAAGCAGTGGATCGATATATCCCATCTACACAGCAGATCTTGTGTTAGTAGAAATAATGAGATGTGTAAAATATGAAGAGAACCGGATGTTTATTGCGGATTTGATAATAGTTTTGGTCATTCAAAATTTTGAC